GGGGGGGGGGGGGGGGGGCACACTCTTCTGCAAGCAGAGCCCAACCGAAGGCAGACTTGCCTGGAGGGGGCAGCCCTCCCGGGGTGGGTGGGGGGAAAGCGAGCCCACCTCGAGCTAACCTCGCCGGGTCTCTTCCCCCCCCCCCAACCCCTGATTTCACCCTGACGTCACCGGAGTAATTCTGGAGCCCTCGTCCAGTTGCTGACCTCGGATAGCTTCTTCCTCCAAGCCCCGGTGCGGGCAGGGGAGGACCCGGAGAGCCGGGCGGGCTCACCTTGGGCGAACCCAGCCTGCCTTCTTTCTTTCTCCCCCCCCCCATTCACCCCCCCCTCTCCACCCCGCCTCGGCTCCAACGGCGACGTCCTCCGCCCACCCGAGGGGCATCCTCCTCTGCCCCTCCCCACCTGCTCCTTGCCTGCCCCCCCTCCTCCTCCTCCTGAGCCCCCAGACCCAATTCCCGCTGCCCCTAGGAGCAGATGAGGCTCTTAAGGTCTCCCCTCCGCCCCCCCCCCTTTCCGCCGCGTTGCCCCCCCCCCCCCCCTCAACCCACCCCGTTGAAGCCCCCTCGGCGCTCCTCCTTTGTGTGGCTCCCCCGGCCGCGCCTGCCCATTCATTCCCCGCCTGCCCGCCCGTCCCTCTCCTCTCCCCCCACACTTACGCCCCAGCTTGAGCCCCGGGAAGGCGACCGTCGAGCTGGTCCCGCTGCCTCCCCCCGGCCCAGGCCCGGCAGCCCCCCCGGGTTTGCCTCCAGGCGCTGCCCCCGAGGTCGGGCCGGGCGCGGTGGGGGCCGTGGCGGGAGCCCCTCCGGACGGGTCTGCGAAGGAGCTCGTTCGGGGCCGGGAGGAACCGGCGCTGCCGCTGCTCATGGTGAGGCCGACACCGGGGAAAAGGGAGGGGGGGGCCGCGCTGGCTGGCTCCGTCTGAGGCGGCTCGGGAGCCGGCCCTGCCCGGCCCTGTTGCAAGAGCCGACGGGAAATGGAGTCTCGGGCGCGGCCCGCCTACTTATCGGTTACGGAAGACAGAACTCTATTTCCCAGAAGGCGTCGCGCAGTCGGCGGCCGTAAGCGCGGCGGCCGAAAAGCGCGCTGGGACAGAGAGTCCTCTCATTCCGCAACCCTCTGCAGCCGGCCGGGCTCCGGGACTACAGGCTCCAGTGTGCCTAGGACCTGAAGCGAGGGAGCATGGGAAATGGAGTCCTCTGCATAGCGCGTAATGCAGACTGGGTGGGACGAGGACTGCGCTTCCCAGCATTCGTCGCGCGGACCTGGTCAGCCTATCGCGCAAGATGCAAGGGGGAAAAAGATTTGAGTTTGGCTCCTCCCAACCAGAGCAGGAAAAGCAATCGTGAGGTGCGATAGAGACGCGAGGCAAGCGCTGAGGAAAAAGCCAAGAGACTTAACCTTTTGCCCATCGCGATTTCTTATCCATTCCCCCCAGTCTCAAAGGGATCCGCCCTGAGGGCTGTTAGGCTGTGGCGCGATGCGCGGAGAGAGAAAACTTGCAGGGCTTCGGCACTGCTTTTCCCGAAGTGCTTTGCGCGGACCCCGTGACTCGGCCGGGGGCGCAGACTACCTCGGGCGGACTACGGATCCCATAGTGCATTGCGAGCAGAAAAAAAAAGCCGTTGTGAGGGTGAGGGGGCCTTGGGGCCGCCGAAGCATCGAGGAGTCACGGAACCCTTCGCCCCCGTCACGGCGCGATGCCCAACCAGGCGGACGATGTTCCGGGGCCAGAGAGCCCTCGGGAGCGCTCAGGCAGCCTTCTGTGCAGGCCCGACATGCTTCCCGTCATGCATCGCTCCGCCCTCGAAAGGACCTGTGGGAGTTGTAGTTCGCGGTGCTGGATGAAGGCATCTCGGAGGCAGAAATCACAGTCATCTCTATTAACTCTGCGCCAAAGCTTCCTAAGCAAGCGGGCTGTTTTCTCCCAAAATTGTTTGCTTGGAGGATCAATAGCAACCAAGCATGTTATACATTTGCATGTCTAAAATATTTGTCCACCAAACTGAAAGCAATAAAGTCTTTCCTTCATTTACTATTTACTGGAAATGAGGAGAAATTTCCTGACAGGGAGAACCATCAACCCATGGAACAGAATTTCCCTTCGGAAGTTGTGGGAGCTTCATCACTGGAAGCTTTCAAATAGAGACTGGTCTGCCATCTGTCAGAAATGATGTAGGGTTTCCTGATTGGATGTTGGGTTGGACTAGATGACCTACAAGGTCTCTTCCAACTCTGATAATCTTGTAATACTTTGCAAGAACCCAGTGAAATAGTAGATTGCAATGCGGGGCTGAATATCAGGCATTACATTTCATAGAGGAGTGGGAATTTAATCCAGGTTGTTCATTTTTTAATGATGTATGATCATATTTTATGATTTATGATCTATTATCACTGTTGTTTGTATGTACATTGACAACTTACGGACTGGAGACAAATTCTTTGTGTGTCAGATCACATTTGGTCAATAAAGAATATACCAATTCCTGTTTTTCAGTGCTTCTCAATTTTCTCAACTTTAAAATGGGTGGACTTGAACTCCCAGAATTCCCCAGCTGTCAAAATATAACTCTAGCGATACTCTCATTGACTTCTTTCCCTGTACAACAACCCTGTGAGGTAGGTTGAGACAGAGGGACTGGCCCAATGACCCCCAGCTTGCTTCCACACCTAAAGAAGGACTAGAATTCACCCTTTCCCAGTTTACAACCCAGCACCTTAACTGTTGCATTGTAAAGGCTCCCGGTTTCTTAGGAGTCATATTTCAGTCAATTTCTTTGGACTGCCAAATTGTTTGCAAAGCATATTTGCTGGGAGGGTTATTTTCTGAAACAACCTTCCCTGAAATGCAGTTTGAACCTTTCCAGGTAAACAATTGCGTACAAAGAGGTACCTGAGCTGCTCTTTCAAGGAAGGAAAGATTACCTACCTGTGTGGCCATCCCACAGGTGTAGGAGAGGTGAAAGGGGAGGGAGGATATGATTAGTTAAGAAACCAAGGAACTGTATTGTGCAAACTCAGAAAAGGGGGAAATTAATAACCAGATTAGGCATGTTATGAAAGCCGCCCTACATTTGGTGTATAGTCGACGCTTGTGTCTAGAGTTTCCTGAGACAAATAATAAAACTAGGCTACTGTGCTGGGTGTGCATTTCTTACAACTTGGTTGCATTGACCTTTGAGCTGGTTCTTGGCTAGCCATATATATAAAGGGTGGAGAATGAGTTCCCCACTTCCAGACGTCTAGAAAGCTACACATCATCTCATAGGTGTGAGGCAGCCAGGAAAATTCCTTATATGGCCTCCATTATTGGAGGAAGAAGAGCCAAGGGTTTAGAGTTGCGTTTTTCAAACTTGGGAACATTAAGACGTATGGACTTCAACTCCCAAAATTCCTCAGCTGGAGTTGGAAGCGTACTTATTTTAAAAGTTTCCAAGTTGGGGGGCGGGGGGGGCGGAAAAAGAAGCCATCTTTTTAGAGCCAAAGACAGGAGATCCCAGGTGATGGTGTTTTTTTTTTTTCCTTCCCAATAATTGCTGGCGTTGCACAATTTTCTAAGCTACCATGTGGTTTCAGCTGTTTGCGGTTTAGCATAGGGCAAGAACTTGCTATTAACTTTAATTTGGCAAACCATGGCTTGGCAGGTTGAGTCGAAGGCAACCGCTGTGAAATCTCTCTCAACGGCGCTGGACAGGCAGACTCAATCTTTTCCAACTTTGGTGCAAATCAGTTTCTCTCCCTTAAGTTATCTATGATAGATCCATGTTTGTTTAAAACAGTGTTTTGCAAACTCAGCAAGGTTAAAACG